AAATAATTCGTTCTTATTGCGAAATAGGAGCACTATTTATCAATCTGTAATAAAAGACGTGAGGAAATTCTGTCTTTTTTAAAGATAAAAATTTTTGAGGCAAAATACCCAAAAAGAAGTTTGTAAAAAAAAACTTTCTTAGCTGTTTTTGCGAAAAAGCTTAAACTGCCTTAACTTTTATACAATTTTTTCCCATAAACCATTGCGTCAGTTTACGCATCATCAAAGGCAACCAGAAAAGTAGAATTTAGGACAAATTAGATCACGAAAAAGAAAAATCGGAAATTCCGTTTAAGAACATTGAAAATTATCATTTGCAATCAAAATGTTCATATTCCTCTCTCTTTCCTATAGTTTTTTTCGACAACTAAAATCGCTAAAATGCCTCAAATTGTATATAATTTTCAACGCAAAAAATGAGAACTCAACGAGCTTAGAAATATACACGCTATTTAATTTTCGGCCAAAATAGCCAAAGGCTAAGATCCAATTTGAGCGGCTTTATTCTACAACCCAGACAAAGCGAACTGACGATTTATTGCTATCATTTTGTCTGAAAAATGCATCGCAACAAATCGGGAATAAATATTTCATATGCTTCGATTTGTAACCGATCGGATCTGCTTTATATTGTATAAGACACAAAGATGCATGCTGAAGAGCGTTTTAAGTCAACATTTAGACGGCACTATCTAAAAAAATATCAATTTTCTCAAAATTTCTCAAACGATACGCGATGTTCATCGGAAGAAAACCGACTTCACAGAAATCACGCTGGGCTGCTCGGGCCCAAAATAAGCGAACATGTTGACTCATTTTGAACAGTTTGTCAGAGTTCTCGATCGTTGCTTCCTTCATCCAAGACAATTTATTGAGTGCAAAAACCATACATGTACAGCTTCGGCGTTTATCAATCAACAACAGAACAAATCTGCATTAGCTATTTTTTCGCAAAAACTAAAAATATTGTCACACTTATAGTGTCAGCATTAGTAGAGGAATTGACAAGGCAAACAAGGAAAGAATAATTTTTCGAAAACAGAATCGCAAAGAAGAAACATCGGCGATGCCACGTTTAGGAACATTGAAAGTTATCACTTGCAACAGAACTGTCCATATCCTCTTTTCTATCTTCTCTATCTTGTGCCGAAATTGCTGAAAATGCCCTTAAATATATACCATTTTCATAGCAAGAAAACGAGATTGAGACCAATCTGAGGGTCGCTAGTCTTTATCTATAGAAGTTCTTAGCACTCCATGGAGGACTTTATGAAGCATATTTTCCAGTCAATTTTCAGTAAGCAAAAAAACTAACGAATTTCTGCTTTATTTCTTCCGTAAATCGTTCGAGGGAACTTCGAACATAAAAGTTGCCCTAGAAAAGTTGGTGCTGATAAACAAACCGTTCCTCCAGTTCCATCTACCCCATCGTTCTGGTTCGTGGTGATGGTGAAGCGTGAAGTTGAACAAGACGCCAGTCGCATCTGCACTGTTGGTAAAGGTGCGCCATATAAAACGCTCACAATCGGTTTTACAAGCACGTGCGACGCTCTTTTTCCGTTTGTTTACAAAACAAAGAGGTGTCGGAAGTGAGTTTTTACATTGTGCATCTAGTTGGATTATATGACGGCTTTTTGGCAAACAAAAGAAGCCTGAGTGAGTATGGGAAAAAAATTATTCAACTGTTCTTTGCGCATTTTGTTAACATCAAGAAGTTTACTGGCGTTCGCTAAAAAACAGTTAGATGTTAATTTATTTTCATTTTTATGTTCTTTTCGTAGGTAACTAATTTTAAATTTGTTTATAAGCGCCTGAAAGCTACGATGCAAAAGCACTATCCACTGTTGATTGTTTTTGGTTTTCATTTGTGCAGTTAAAAAAAATATTCCATCGGGATTTTTAAGGTTTTTATACTCAACTGGCATTTAATAGGAACAAGGGAATGGCTGCACGTAGGCACAATGGGATAAAATAATAAATCACCCTGGATTATTAGGAATTAATAAACTAATAGAGACTCATCCATTCAAATCTCGTATAATCAGCGTATAAATTGATTAATTGGCCTCTAGAGTAATTTATCCAAATTAAATGATTTATTAAAGTGTGCACCCGAATTCGCAAATTGCCAAAACTTTCAACAACTGCGCAAATTGGCCAAGCCATTTGTCACTAATGAGCGCACTTTAAATAAAATTTCCATTATTCTTCCAAAGTCCGCTAGTCTTAATAGATTTAATTACTTCGTTCCTAGTTGATTTAGCAGCTGGCGATCCACAAATGCCGAAATACAATTACCCTAAAGTGTACTGTTTTGTGTAAGTCGCAATCAAATCAATTAGCATTTTAAATTCTAGAAACATGGATAGTACGCAGAGCTTCGCTAAAAACTAGCTCATTGAATTAATTAGCAATTAACTATACAATGACAATCGTAATGAGTTTAAAATAAAGTGCAGAGGCGCAATGTTTGCGAATATTTTGCCTTTTCACTTTTTAGGCGCTGTTAAGAGCAACCGTTAATGAAGCTGTTGCTAGCGACACTTTCCATTCCCTGATTTTAATTTGTCTAGTTGAACATCTTCCATTTGAATAACTCCAGAGGAAGTACCTACTATAACAGTCTCGAGCGTCGTGCAATATGTTAAGTGCCATACACTATGTCAATTAGAGGTGTAAATGAAATATTCAAATAGGCCGTAGTTGGATACTTGGTATTCATTATGGTTACAATCGAAGTGTTTGAGCTTTAAGATGCAAATAGCGTGCTTTTATTACTTGTGATTGCGGCCGATAATCGTTCAAACGCTAAGTGAGCCAAACGCGATAAAATCTGCCACAGATTTTCATTCAATTGTACTTGGAATTTGTCGATTGGTCCATATCTCAGTCACGATTTTAATTATCTGGATCGAATCCACCTGAACAGTATCAAAAACTTATAATTTTCGTTAAATCTGTGAAATGCTCCACGGATCTTTTTGTGAAATAAACTACAGAAAATCATTTAGGTTTCTTTGACAAAAAGTTGCATATTCTAGTTAGTTTGGCTGCTGCTAATAAGCCATTAACAACGTAATTTTGGTTGTTAACTTGAACTTAATGTGCCGTATATATGAAAAGTTGAACTGCCGAAATATAACCAGTACTGCAAACATGAAAAAGCTCGGTAAAAACCAGGCCTAAAACCAGAACCCATATGTATACCTTCATGGGAACTTTAAACCATGGTACGAGTCATTGTTAGTGTCACATTCGGATGAGCAGCAACAGGAAATCAATTTAAATTTCATCTACACAAGGTTGTTAAATAAGCACACTCTACTCTGCTTTGCGTGGTTTTTCTATGTGGTTTTTAGTCAAACTGCCTGAAAACTAGGCATTTTTCTTCAAGTACTGTTGTTTGAAATTTCCATTTTCAATGGAGGAGATTAATTGGAATTGTCTTGGCATCTGGCTGCGATCATTTATTGAGAATGTTAAATGAATAATTCCCGTTTTATCTTTGGTGGGCAACATAAACAAAACTGAGTAAACAGGAAAAATACACGAAACGGTCTCACGAAAAACGCACTTGAATGTTTTCGGCCTATAAACTGCTTATATAAAACCAAATATTTAGGCTTCCGTGTGTATATAAGGAGGCGGGGATGTTGAATTATTGAAGGATATTGCACATGTAAGATGTTAATGAACAGGAAGCGGTAGCAAACTTTGTTCATTTGAAGCTGGAAGCTTCAGCTTGATGATCTTCCCTAAGACTAGTTAGTTCTTCCGCGGATTTGCTATCGAATTTATTCGAGACAGGCATGTTTTTGCTTTGTTTTTGTTTTAATGGTCGTCGGGTTAAGCAAACGTAGTCCATACTTACTTCCTATGTTATTCATAGAGTCATTGCTGTAGACATAAAAATAAACAAGATGCAAATCTGAACAAATGGCATAGAAGAAGAAATGGAAAGATGGAAAACATTAACTAAGCGTTGAAGAAAAACAACACAAAATGCACAACGCGAAAGTAGGAATACTAGGAAACTCCAACAAGGCAGGAATAAGACCATTTGGACGAAGAATAAGAAATAGCAGAAGAAAAATGGTGATAAATAATGTTAGCTAAAGAAATCTGTATCTAATGAACACGAATTATAAAAAACCACAACGACCGAGATCGGCCTGGTAAAGTCCAATTTCCATACAAAAAGAAAGAAGGAAGCTGATAAGACCTGAAAATAAAAGAATAGAGGGTGAAAATAAACCAGCAAACCACAAACTAGGTCAGGAAACTCAGCAATTAATTAAAGAACGAACAAGAAGAGTGGAAGATCGAGCAAATAACCAAGAGTCTATTTTCTAAACCAAACATTATCAAAGTAGTTGATGCAAGATAGAGAAAAGCTTCAATCACCTTCACAATTCGCTTCATCAGACAAAAAATAGCGAGAAAAAAAAACTATTTTATTTGTGGAGTCTACAACTAATAACCAGCCTATTAATATTCATCGAAAGTAGTTCTGACATGTTGCATCTTCGGGTATTACGTTTCTCGATTTGCATTTTGAATGCGCTCGCGGCCAATTGTTGAAGGGAAAGATGCTGCAATGATTTATCCTCCACTATCACTGAAACACGTCGAGCGAATTCATTTAACTAACGATGCATCAACGGCATCCTTTCAACTCAAATCGGTCTGATTTCTCAGTAATGCTTGTTTAAATCAGTTCGATTAATTTGACGCTTGCTAATTGTACGGGTGGTCTTAAGGGACGTTTTTTGAATTGCGGGCAAGAAATTGATAAGTGGAATTGCTACAAGTTCAGAATGCTCGTCCTGAACTTTGGACTTGATCAATTCCTGTGAAATAATAGGAAAATGCACATTTTTGTTAGCTCCTTTTTAAAAAAAGTGCTTCATTTTCACAATTCTTCTGTGCCATTTCTGATGAGCTCAAAAAAGTCTTGTTTTCTGCACAACAGGTTTTCAATTTTTCCAATTTCTCGTTCAAAAATGCTTCGCAAAGTTGCAAAATGGCACACTTACAATGCGTCTTTGTGCCCTACCGTTTCATACAGTGAAATGTCCATAAAGTAGGCGTAACGATTTTGCAATGCCCGCTAATTTGTTTATAAATACGTTTAACAATAACATTTACCGAGTGAAGTTGTCGGCGACACATTAATCAACATACAGTGGGCTGTTGGTTTTTTACGAATTGGCAGTGGCGTTATTAAGTATTCATTTAAATAACTATGACAAATTGTGTTTGGTTTGATTCTTTTGTTCTTGATAAATATCTGCATCATAATTAAGTAGAGTCCAAAAAAACTTAAATATTGATAAAATGGTCTCCGTACTGCCACTTTAGGATGTTGACTATCAGGGCAATTAATTCTATGACTAATGATCGATGAATTTTGGAATTTTGCGTAGCAATCACTAGAAAAATTGTTTAGTAATTGATGAATTTCTAAAAATCCTGTAGGGATAACTACTATTTAGTCCAATTGGTTACTTATTTTCTGAATGCTATTGTGGAAGCGTCTACGTGGAACGTCTACATTGAACAAGATACAAGGCGAAAGACGATAAAGAAATAAACAGTTTCAATCAATTGCCATGAAAATCTAACCCTTCTGAGCAACTGGTCTCTGAGCTATTTCTAGTTTTGGATCTAAAAACTCATCTTAGACAAGTTTTTCTAGTTTAGCAACTATTTAATGTAGCAAAGGGTTTTAGCTTGGACAAGATTCTCATTGGGTGCACTTTTTTGCAACTCCATGTGAAAATCCTGCTTCTTCCTCACTAGCCTAGAGCTGACCAATAGCTGTTGAGCCGTCTGCAAAGGCAGTCACGATTCTCATAAATAAAAGAATCTGAACTCTGACCGTAGAATAATGAAATGTTCCCAGTGTTGTCTAATTCATGTTGGAGCCTCACTGTTTTTAATCAACATTTGCGGCTAATTACCCTCCACTTGGATCTGATTGGCGAAAGGAAGATATTTTTAGGAACTTAAAGCCTTCACGAAATATGTCCTTATCTATGACCAAATAACATCAAATTGGGTTGAAAGATAAGTTGCTGGATTTTGTCAAAATTACAACTAACCTAAAGGCTGCTGGAAAAATAACGACTTGGAGTTGGAACTGGACTAATTGGATAGAAAGCCCTTTGAAATAAATCAAAATTGGTACCAGAACCATGGTTCCAGTATGTGGCAACATTGAAAATAGGGGGGCCACTAACCCGGCGCTACGAACTCAAGGTTTTCGTGATCGTGGATCTGCAAATCTTTCGAAAAAAAAAAAACATTGCCACCGGTCGTGTTAAAAAGATAGGGCAACCGTTACTCTAATAGGGATAATTTGATGTTGGCGCAACAGCGAAAATTAATGGTTTCGTGGAAATCTAACAGTGGTTTCGACGCAATAATTGACCAGGAAAAATAAGTTTGCATCTGCAATTTCCAGATCGGACAATTCAGTTTGCTGACTCATTCGGAACAAAAGCAAAGCCGGATTTTTGTATCCTCGATGTTTAGTGAGTCTAATCGATGGATAATTGTCGAATATGTAGCGTAATAATCAAGTTTCTTAACAAATTTTATTATTGATTCACTTACCAAAAACGCCAAACTTTGATAGCTTTTGATAAATTTTT